AGCAGCAGCAGCAAACCGCTGGGCTTCCTGCTGCCGCTGGCAATGGAAGCTCGCTAAACCCAAGACCATCCTGTTGCTGCAAACCCTAAACCCTTGAGGGTTTAGTTGAGAGCCTATCGTTCGCGCAAGCCCCAAACCCTAAACCCTAAACCCTACCTGTTTTATTAGCCACGAGAAAGACAACTGGGGAGATCATCGGCTGCACAGACGAAGCCCCAAAACCCTAAACGCTAAACCCTAAACCCTAGCCAGCCGCAAATCCCTCGCTCGTGAGCTTGAAACCTACTCTCCCCGACCCCACAAACCCCAAACCCCAAACCCTACACCCTAAACCCCAAACCCTAAACCCTAAACCCTAAACCCTCACGTTTCGGTACTCCGCGAAGTCTCTGACGAGGTCGAGAAGCTCCGAAGCGACTGTGAAGCTGCTGGGGTCATTTACGTCAAACACAATTAAGAATCCCATTCGCCCTAATAATAACAATAAATAAATAAATAAATAAATAAATAAATAAATAAATAATTATAATATATTAATTCATTCCGTGGTACATTAATTGCGCCAAAAAAACGGTTCGATCGAGCCGCGAGCAGCAGCAGCAGCAGCAGCAGCAGCAGTGGCAGCAGCAGCAGCAACAGTGCCAGCAGCACCAGTGCCAGAAACATTACGACCAGCAGCAGCACCAAGCGCAACACCAGCAACTCCACCAGCAGCAACTGCAGCATCAGCACCAGCAACTGCAGCAGCAGCAACTGCAGCAGCAGCAACTGCAGCAGCAACTGCAGCAGCAACTGCAGCAGCAGCAGCAGCAACTGCAGCAGCAGCAGCAGCAGCAACTGCAGCAGCAGCAGCTCACCATGGGCAATGGACCTGTATTTGTCGTTTTCCGCTTGAGGGTTTATTGGAGGCCTCCAAATCGAAAAGGGAGTGAAGTCCCGCACGTGCCGCGGAAGGGCCACTTCACGCAAACCCTAAACCCTAAACCCTAAACCCTAAACCCTAAACCCTAAACCCTAAACCCTGAAAGTGAGCCTGGTGCCCTAGAGGCCTGAGAGGCCCTCGGGTGTTGAAGAGGCAGCAGCAAATGCTGCAGCTCCCGTCCCCCCATGCCAAACAATAGCAGCAACAGCAGCAGCAGCAGCAGCAGGAGCAGCAGCAGCTGCTGCTGCTGCTGCAGAATGTGAAGTCCCCCGCTGCGACTCCGGTGCCCTCAAGAGCATCTGCTGCAGATTCGAGACTCTAATCAGCTGCTGCTACTGCTGCTGCTGCTGCAGCCACTACTACTACTGCTGCTGCTGCTATGCCGCTGCTGCTGCTGCTGCTGCTGCTGGCACTGTTGTTGCTGCTGCTGCTGCTGCTACGCCGCCGCTGGTGCTGCTGGTACTACTGCTGCTGCCGCTGCTACTGTGTCGCGGCTCCTGCTGCTGCTACTACCGCTGCTCCTCTGCCGCTGCTACTACCGCTGCTCCTCCTCTACCGCTGCTGCTGCTGCTGCTGCTGCTGCTTACCCTGTTTGCGTTTCATGTCTGCGAGGGCTCTGATGGATTTGCTGCTGTTTTCTTTTTGAGGAGCAAAAGTGTCTTCCAATTCAAAAAGGACTCTGCGGCTGCTGCCAGCTTCTCCGTCTCCCGGCAGCCGCAGCACGCGGTACAAAAGCCTCAGCAGCGGCAGCAGCAGCAGAAGCAGCAGCAGCAGCAGCAGCAGCGGCGGCGGCGGATGGGGCCTTGGCAGCAGCAAGAGCGCGCTTGGTGCCGCTTGCTGCGGAGCCGAAGCCCGCGGCTGCGCCGCCGCCCGCGGCGCCGCAGGGCCTGGGGTTTAGGGTTTAGGGTTTAGGGTTTAGGGTTTAGGGTTTAGGGTTTAGGGTTTAGGGTTTACCTGGGGAGCTGCGTGCTGGGGGGCGGAGTGGCCCTGTCCTGCACATTGTTGACGAAGCAATCTGCTATGCTGGTCTTCCCGCTGCTGCTGGAGCCGAGGAGAGTGACCCGCAGCAGCGGGAAAGCCTCGGGGTCCATAGGGTTTAGGGTTTAGGGTTTAGGGTTTAGGGTTTAGGGTTTGGGTTTGGGTTTGGGGGTTCGCGGCGGCCAGAGCCGCAAGGTCCACCGCTAGCGAGTTGACGAGCAGCTCAAGACAACGCCGCAGCAAACCACGCTGCTGTTGCTGCTGCTGCTGCTGCTGCTTGTCTTTTGTTGCTGCTGCTACTCGTGCTGCTGCTGCTGCTGTTGCTGCTGTTGCTGCTGCTGTTGCTGTCAACGCGGGCCTGGTCTCAAGACCTCTCCGATGGCAAGTCGCGGCAGCGGTGGCTCAGAAGCTGCGGGTTTAGGGTTTAGGGTTTAGGGTTTGCGAACTGCAGCCAAAATACTTTTTCTTTCATTTGCTTCCGACCTTCCAGCGCGGCGGCAGCAGCGGCAACAACAGCAGCGGAGCTGCTGCTGCTGCCGCTGCCGCTGCTGCTGCTGCTGCTGCTGCTGGTGTTTCGACCGCGGTCGTTGCTGCTGCCACCCGCTCAGCTTATTATGAAAATACACATTTAATTGTTACAAATAAAACTAAAAGTCTTAATTTTAGGAACATAGATAGCTGTGAAGCAGCAGAGTGTTGTGTTTTCGCTGCTGCTGCTGCCGCCGCTGCCGCTGCTGCTGCTGCTGCTGCTGCTGGGGTGACTCTGCACACTGAATTTCAGCTTGTCTTCTGCGGTAACAGCAGCAGCAGCAGACGCAGAGGCCTCAACAGCAGCGGGAGCCGCACAACACTGCAACAAGCAGCAGCAGAAGCAGCAGGACCAGCGGCGCCCGCAGCAGCAGCAACTGCAACAGCAGCAGCAACAAGCAGCAGCACGGCAGTCCACGCATTCCCCAGAGCTGCAGCTAAGGCAGTTGCTAAGGGGACGCTGTTAGCAGCAGCTCTTGCAGCAGCAACAGCAGCAGCAAAACGGCAAAACAGCAGCAGCAGGAACAGCATCGAAGACACGGGCGGCAGCAGCGACAACAGCACGGGCAGCAACAGAGACAATAGCAGCAGCAGCAGCTGCAAGACAAGGAGGCTTGATTCCGCTGCCTCATTAGATCCAGACGTAACAGCAGCAGCAGCAGCAGCAGCAGCAACAGCAGCAACAGCAACAGCAGCAACAGCAGCAGCAAAAGGGCGCAGAGCCCTAGCAGCCCTTCATGCTGAGGGAGTGTCTGCTGCTGGGGCATCCGTTGCTGCTGCCCCAGCAGCAGCAACAACCGCCGCAGCAGCAACCGAAGCAGCAGCAGCAGCAGCAGTCCAAGATGCTGCTGCAGCAGCAGCAGCTCGTGCTTGACGACGGCGTGACCCTGATCTTAGGAGATGACGATGAGGGGGGAACCTCCGAGCAGCAGCAGCAGCAGCAGCAGCAGCAGCACTTGTATCTGCATGAGCGCCGCAGCCGCAGCAGCAGGGAGTCCAGCTTGGCCATATCAAAGGCCCTGAAGCTCGAGAAGAGAGAAAAGGAAGTGAAGCTGCTGCAGCAAAGGTAAGCAGCAGCAGCTGCTGCTGTTTCTGCTGTTGCTGCTGCTGCTGGCGCTGTCGCTGGGGCGTTGCTGCTGCTGCTGCTGCTGTCGCTGGGGCGTTGCTGCTGTTGCTGCTGCTACGCGTGCTGCCGTTTCGTGGCTGCCGCTGCTGCTGCTTTGGTGGGGTTTCTTGCTGCTGCTGCTGTGGTGGGGTTTCTTGTTGCTGCTGCTGCTGTTTCCGTCATATGCCAATTGTTGCTGCTGCGCTGCCGTTTTTGCTGCCGCTGTTGCTGCTGCTGTGCATTCCGGCGCTGGGTGCTGCAGCTGCTGCTGCCTCTTTGGGGGCATTAAGTGGCTGCTGTACTGCAGCAGCAGTAGTCGCTGCTGCTGCTGCTGCACCTGCTACTGCCCTGTTAAGTGCTGCAGACCTTGCCGATACAGGATAAGAAACACTCATCATAGCAGCAGCAGCAGCAGCAGCAGCAGCTGTGTGTCTGTCCGCGTGTCTCAGGGGCCCCTTATATGCTGCAAGCATTCGCGTCCCCTGCCGCAGCCCAGCAGCAGCAGCAGCAGCAGCAGCA